TTTGAATTCATCACAGATACTCTTACTAGGTCCCTCTAACCCAGAATCCTTGTGAAACGCACAGTTCATATAATAAGACCCTTTATTATAGTCAGGCTTGCCACTACTACCTAATGTTTCTTTCCCACAAGACCACCCCGCTAACCACATGGACTCTTCTGATTCTAAATAGGACAATTCTTCTTCAGGCAAATTCGCCAATATAGAAGCACTTTTTAATACCCTTAGCCTCAATTCATGAAATTTTTCTGGTAGATTCTTAACGACTATAATGCCTAATGAATCGAGTCCAAATGCTTTCTCTAAAATGTTAAAGTCAACTCCCTTTGATAAATCGTCAAGTGTTACAATCACTGGTTCAGATTGATCCATATCTGCAAGCTTGAGTCAAGAAGCATAATATTTATTTTAATATCGACATTTGGTATTTTTATACGTCTGTACGAGCCGCTCCATTGCGCAGATATAATGGAGATTTTGAGATTTCATAAATATGCTGCATGTCAATACAAAATAAGAAAAAGTTCACAAATTAATCAAATTTCACTTCTGATAACTTATCTTAAAGAAATTCCAAAACGGATGTCTTGACCGATGAATATTATTGTATTTAACATATTTAAGATTAGTTTTTGGTATTTTTTGGTATTTTTAGGAATTTTTATGATTCTTAAAATATTTTAGCAAAATGAGATAAACACATAATAAATCAATATGATACAGGCGTTTGTAATGTTTTTCAATTTTTAAAACAACCAAACTTCAATATTTTATTACATTTCTAGTCTCTCTTTTATGATTGGCTGCAAAATATTGTTCAACTCCAAATATTTGTATAGATTTGTTTTCTTCGATATGGTTTCAACTATTCCGGGGTTTCTGTATAAAAATATATTGCCCAAATTTCTGATACTTGTCCCGTTCATGACGATACTATTTATATGAGAACAGGTATAATTTTAAAATAACTGTATATTTTAATATATATAAACTCATATCTTAAATCAACAGCTAGGACAATCCTTATTAGCTCAGTTGGTAGAGCGTTCGGCTTTTAAGGATTAAAGATTTCTGTCAAAGAGTCGACCGAAATGTCCAGGGTTCGAGCCCCTGATGAGGAGTCCTTTTTTTTTCTTAACTGCGTCTCAACTCAATTGCAGAAGTTTTTCGTAAGTGTGCTTTCATCATGTAATTGTTTACAGTCCGTTAATATTGTTGGCACCAAATATGGCTCATTTGAAATATAATTCTCTCCTAGATTTTTGACAGTATTATTTCTCTTCATCTTCCTATATTTATTAACGTTACTTGAAGTAAAGCTTTCGATTTTTGCTCTATATATCTTTTTCAAAGTGTACATGATTAGTTTTGTTCTTTCATTTTTAAACTTGTGATTCATATTAGCACCACTTTTAGAGAGACTTAGATTATTATTATCATACTTACATATTATGTCTTCGAGATTGTTATTACTAACTGAAATTCCTTCTTCAGTCAAGAATTCAAGTATCTGTGTTTTAAGACATTTCGATTTGACTTTCTCCTGGCTGCATAATAGTAGTGAAAGAGAAGATTTTTTCCTGGATTTTATAGATATTCTTGATTTAAAGAACTCAAAAAATTTATCTTTCGTTAATTCGTCGATTATCAGTAAGTCGATTTCATATTCTCCGTTCAACCCTCCAAAAGTATAAGTTTTGTTAACAATCTTATCGAAATAATTTCTGTGCATGTAATACATTTTGCCCTTGGGGAAAACACTACTGCTTTTTACTGGATTTACACCGTATAACTCACTACTATGAAATGATTGGTCTTTTTGAGTATTATGCTTTAAGTAGCTTTCAACAAAGGTTTTTCTGAAATTTTGAAATTTCTCTTCGGAATATTCAAATAGTATCAACTCTAATTCATACAAGAAATCCTCTATTTGTGAATTCAAATAATGGGGTGTGTGGCTTCCACTAGATATGGTTATGTATATACCGGTAGTAGTTCTAAATAACTTAGAACCACTAGATACAAGGTACCCTAACTTTCGTTTTGCTCTTAACTCAGTTGCTGCAAAAATAGATAATATGTGCGCAGCAAACTTTGAAATTGTCCTATTGAATACATCTTCTCGGCTTCCTATTTGAATATAATAGAATATAGTATTTGTTGCACCATTGTTTGTATCATTATCTTCATATATATAGCTTTTACCCTGTTTCATCAAATAACTGGAAAGATTTGTTTTTTGGAAATTATTGGTATTGGTTTTCTTTTCGTATCTTCCTAACGACTGGAGTATTCTAGATATTTTAAAGGCATCATGAATTTTAATATCACCTTGAATAAATATATTTAAATGTTGTAACGCACCAAAGAGTTTTAAACTTATTACTTCTAAAAGGTCCATATTGATTTCATCTAAAGCGTCTAGACGCTGCTTAAGGGACCAAATTCCCTCTTCTAACAAAACTATTGAACCTGCCATTGCTTTATCAACTCCTCCGGATTTTAAAAAGTCTTCATACTGTCTTCGTACGGAGTATTGGGCTTTCGTAAATTGGTTATACGGCATATTTCTAAAGTTTGAGGTAATTTCCTGAATTTTCTCTATGATAAAAAACAAAAACATGCCAAACTTGTCTTTAAGTCCTGTAGCTGTGAGTGTAATCGATGAAGAGCAGTTTAAACCTGGAAATAACCCCCAAGAATATCCTACTAATTCTCCAGGGAATAATTTGTGACGCAATTTATTTCCAATTAATTCAACTAATATTTCTATTCCAATAGTGACACTTGGTGATGGTTCTAAGGATAAACCTTGTACTCGACAAGATGCTGTAATCTTAGACGTATAGTCTTCAAATTTGTGCCAAATTTCATGAAACTGAGATGAGTCAATAAGCTTAGGGCCTGCTTCTGATATTCTATAAGCCAGAAAACCCCAAGATATATTTGCGGCTTTAAGTGAGATATTCTCCACAATTGAGTTTAGGTCTTTTTGGTTATAAGCTAAATAAATATTTGGCTCTGGGAATGAAAAATTACAACAATATTCTAAAGATTTCTTGTTTATGAATAGATTATCCATATCACAGACAGTATATTCAAAGTCGTTATACTGATCCTTAGTATTCAATACTACTGAATTTACAGAATAGCACCTTATTGTATTCACTATTAGTGGATTGGAATCAAGTATCAAGATATTACAATTGGCAGTGTTAAGAGTTTTCATAGTTGCCGCAATAAATTTTGCAGCCATCAAGCGCCACCATCCGGGGTCTACCTTATAGTCACCACTATAATCCAAATCTTCATCCATCCAATCATTATAACCTTTCAATATATTCAAAGGGTTTATGACACTTATGTCTTTCTGTAATATCTCTGCCAAAGCTGAAGCTTCTTCCATAGGAGAATTACTTGGTTCTCTATAGATGAAATTCAAAGTTTCAATTGTGGCCATATCAGACAAGTAATGACCCATGATATCGTAAGAGCAATTTAAAATTATTTGATTGATATACTGGAATATTGAAACTAATATTTTCAGAATGTTATTTTGTCCTTTTCTTGTCAATGTAATATCCAATATCAACACATCGTCTTGGAATGTTAATGATTGACGAAACAGATTTACAGAAAATGCAAGGTCTTCTAATTCAATTAAATATGCACATAAGGATCCTATTGATTCATCACCTAATATATTCATCCACGCATGTTGGTATAATTTATATTCCTTCTGAGATTTAGTTGGCTTGATCGGAAATATTATACGAAGACGTGAATGGACATCACTTTTAACGAATAGACATTTGCTTGTATTGCATTGTTTAAAGATTGGCTCTCTGTATACGTTGCCCCAGGATTTAGATAGTATTGAGAATTCAGATAAATGATGTTTCAACATATCTGTTTCAAAAGACTTTTTACTTTTGATTGATTTCTTACCGATGCTAGAAAAATTCATTAAAGCTAGTCTTTGCAAATGATTCAAAGATTGGGGTCCACTTATAACTAGAGTCATTTTCTCAGGTAAATAATGGGATTGGTAGAACTTGAATAATTCAGAATATATATTTAGCTTTAAAGACTTGGGAATGTTTTCTAGTGTTTGTAGATTGCCAGTAGCGAAACGACTAAAGGGGTGACCTTTATTCGATAAGAATTTCAAAGCATGGAAAAATATCTTCTCCGGTGAATTTCGATTGCAAATATTCTCGTCATTGACGGACGATATTTCATTTCTAATTTCATTTTCACGAAATAAAGGACTTTTGAAGAAACTGGCAAAATTTCTCAAGACATGATCAAAAATCGATTCATCACCACCTTCTTCCTTATTGGTAGTAGGGTTTATGTTTCCTATATTTCCATTAACAACTGGCACTTCAAATTGAAAACATGTTTGTTCTCCAGTAGTAAAGGCATTCGTTAGCCCACCATAAGCCTGCACAGTCTCATGGTACAAATTTGGCTTAGGAAATTCCTTTGTTCCCATGAATAGAGCATGCTCACATAAATGAGCCAAACCTGGAATATAATCAGGATCATTATGCGATCCAGTCGCAATACATATACTTGCAGATCCAATTTCATTTCTGGAATCCGATATTAGGAGAGTTAAAATGCCATTTGCCAATTGAAAAATTCTATGACCACGATTGGAATCAGATAAAGGAACTTTAAAGTCTATCGGGTATGTTTTGATTGAACGATAGTAATCTGTCATATGAAGTAAATGCTTTAAGAAAAGGAATATAATATAATTGGTTTTAGTTTAGGGAGAGGCATTTCTTGTTTATGAACTGCGATAGTTACACATTATTTTGCAACTATTTCCTAGTTCGATATTGACAATAAAAGTCACCTACAAAATTATACTATTAGTTTATTACAAGTGACTAGCAACCATATATATTCTTTATAAAACTAACGTTATATAACTGTATATCAATCGTCTTCCCCAATGCAAAACATTATATTTTCGAAAGAGGATAGGAATGGCAAAATTAAAAAAAGAATTCCGATACCGGGAGTCGAACCCGGGTTTGCTCGGTGAAAGCGAACCGTGCTAGCCGTTACACTATATCGGAGTGTTCATAAAGTTTTTAGATTGCAGACAAGAATATATCATCTACCTCCTAATGTCTGCTATCTTTTTTTTATCTGAATATCGTTAGAAAAAGAATTACAGATATTCTACTGGGCAAAGAATACTAATAGGCATGGCGTATTTTTTGTAACTGAAGCATGGCTATTATGGAAATACCAGGTTACTACTACGATGAAACAAAGAAGAAGTACTTCAAGATAACGAACGGTGGAGTGAGCTCTCCATATCATAATAATATAATACAAGCTAAGAAAAGGCGAATTGAACATGACATAGAAACAAAAACTCTAAATTCTGGTATTAAGTACACTAAAAACGCAAGAACAATCAAAGAAGTCCAGAAATGGAGACATTACGCCAGTCCGAATAATTTACAAAAACTAAGATTAGGTCTTTGTAAGTTGGACAAACTGACCTACGATTTTGAAATGATGAGAGGATGGCACTACTGGAAGACATTGAAATATGAGGATAATAAAATATGGGGAAAATTTAAAGATAAATACTTTATAAGTACTGATGGTTGTGTGATGAATATATCTGCAGTGGACGAGCTAGGAACTGTTTCCACATATGCTAGGTGCGATGAATTGAAAATAACGAATTATTATCAGCAATTAACAAATGAGGGCTTCACTATATTCGAACCAACTATCGAAGTGCTAGTCACTAATGGGAAGTTTGTTTTTAAATACATTACGTTTATCGCAAGCGATACAGATATGTTCATGGGATTCTTTAAATTTGAAAGGTACGATCCAAAGAAACGGGAACAGGACCTCAGCCTCAATTTAATAGAGTATGTTAAATCTATCGATGACAGACGTACAAAAGGTGAGTTAATGATGATCCTTGGCATTGGGCTAATGAAATTTGATTCTGATGACTTCCATTATGCGGATGCGGAATTCAAAAACAACTGCAGAATTACAAGTGCATTAATACAGGATAACCAATTAATACTTGGAACTAACCGTGGTCATGGTTATTTATTTGACTTTAATAATAGTGGTAAATTTCATAAGTGTAAGAGGTTTACAGTGCGAAAGGGAGAATATCTGATTAAAAAGATCATAAAAAACGATAGAAATACTTTCATCAGCGGATCAACAAAGCAGCTATTTATCTTAGATAGCAATATGCGCACATCTATGGTTATAACTCACGATGATGGTGTCAAAGATTTTGATGTCCGAGCGAATAGCGATATTATCATTGTTGGCTTGAAATCAATTAAAGTCTACAATTACAACGATCCGCATTCACAGCCCGTAACTATTAAATACTTTAATGATAATATCACTCGCCAGATATCGTTATTTGAAGAAAACTATTTCATGGTAAATCAGTCTCACAATGAGATTTTGGTTGTGCATTATTCCGATTACAACACTTTTTCGCTAAATCTAGTCAATAGAGGTAGATATTTGGTGAATTTTATAAATCTTTCCTCTGGCGTATATATCTTGCATTGGGATAGCCATGGTGAAAGCATATATGAAATGTATAAAATTTGATAGCTTAGCTGATGATTGTGACACTATTTTGCTATAGTATAGAATAAGCAACACAATGTGTCGTCACCTTTTACATATAGATAGCTACCAACTTCAGAGAAACACACACTTAAATTTGCAAATTAAGACTTTTTCAGTTGTTGCAGAAGAATGCAATATAACCTTACTATATTTCAAGGGTTTTAAGATAAACCATCGCATATTCCTACAGAAGCTTTTCTGGAATGTAAAAGCGGTCATGAAACAAGAAAGTAATATTAGGGAATTATGTAAATGTGTAATGTGTAGAAGTATCTAATATATAAGCCTGTTTCTGTATCTTTCAACAAGAATATCGGAAAGCATCGTTAGGAGCGAAATAATTTAATTGGAAAAGTAGAAGTATCTAACGAATAAGCCGTTTAAATATTGAAAATAGTTTGGAATAATCATCACTTCACCTTAGACCCATATTGGGCTTGGACTTATAAAAGCAACGAGAACATAATTGAATAACAAGTGAGACCCTTCTCACAGTTAATGAATTGGATAATATTCAGTTGCTCTGAATAGAAAACATAATTTATATCAAGCTTTTAGTTAAATTATCGAGCTTTAAATAGTCAAATTTGGATGCAAAAAAATGACTCATAAACACACAAAGTATTATCACAGATTCTATACTTCTGGTTCATTAGTGACTCATTTTGATTATACTAAGTTAAATGAATTAGCATGCATGAAATATGTGTTAGTCATACTTGGAAACCAATTTAGTTTGATATAAAAAGTTGTAAACCTACACCACAAGCTTGGAATAAAAAAGTTTAAATAAAAAAATACTAGTTTGTATCTATTCTTTATATTTTTAATACGTTATGGATATATTTGAAAAGATTGCTTTTACCAAATTAAATTCTATTGTTTCTATAGACGTAGTGGAGCAAGAGCCTGTATTGAACATACCTGTTATCACTTTTGCCCATGAGATGTCAAATCTTGGTTTCTCCATCACAAAACAAGTATATAACTATCTTTGTAATTTGAAGAATCCAAAGGAAAAGTGTGCTGACATATTAGAAATAGCTAAAGAATCTGTTGGCGCTCATGTGAGAATGAAGGCATTCTATCCAGATTTTCCGCTTCAGGTGATGAATATGGCTGAAGCTGACTTGTATTTTTTGGCTGCAATACATTATTGGAGTTGCGGGTACTGGAAACCCTCTTTTATAGAATCAAGTCGCCCTGAACTTAAAGAAGTTATCCATCGAACTAATATTTCTTTGATCTCTATAAAGCATGTCAAGGCATATTTTTTTAAAATTTTGTCTTCGAAACAAAGTGTTCCGGAAGCGTTGGTAACCTTTGTTGACGCGGCCATCAATGAAGGATGGGCTTGTGGGTTTAATGGGGAAATTCCATTCAAAGAAAACTTATGTCGTGTAGCAACATTTCTTGTTAAGAAGGGAGAATCAATTAATAACATAATATCAACATCGACGGACATACTACGTGTTATGGCTTCTCTATCAGATTCAGATATTGAATTGAAAAAAAAAATACGCTTTAAATCACTAAGTCGCAAATATCGGCGTATAATAATGTTGGCATTAGAAAAAGTTATAAATATCTCTGATATCAAGGCATATGAATCCTTATGGAAAATTGCATTTCATTCACTTCATGTGGGTGAGTTTGGTGGAAAAACGGCAGATATCGCATCTTGTTTTCGTAATGAAAATAATGTGAAGACATCCGAAACAATAATAGCAGAAGCTATTAAGAATGGTAACACCAAATTGGCGATGAAAAAGTTAATAAATAAACCGTCCGTGTTTGCACGTTCTCTTGATAAATTATTGAGAGATTCTAATAAAGAAACAGGTGAATTTATTATAAAACAGTTTGCTTCAATCATTAATAAAATTGATGCTAAGATCCTTTTGCAGCTATTTGGTCATTTTAAAGGCCGCAAAATCAATGAATCGAGCTCTAGGATTGTGTTTACCGCTGGAAGCCAAGGAAGAGCTATTTTGGTTCCTAAGCTAACTGAAATGGATAACGATATTGTTAGAGATATTATGAATATCATCACCATTGAGTTAGAGAAACAATTCTGTAATAAAGGTCATTTAAAGAATAGAAAAGTATATATTGGGATAGAAGCTAAAGGTGTCTTATTACCTTCTCAATTGGCCTCCATATCTGACAATAAAAGAACAATATCTCGTGGTTCTAGAGTACCAATTGATATTATACCTTCAGATATCGAAAAAAATACCCTTCGTATGTTTATTCATTGGATTGGTGATGATATTGATTTAAGTGCATTATTTTTAAGCGAAGATTTGAACACGCAGAGTCACATAGCTTTCACAAATTTGAAAGACGGCTTTGCTTGGCATTCAGGTGATATTGTCAATGCTCCTGGACCTGATGGTGCTAGCGAATTTATTGATATTGATCTCAAAAAGGCACAAGAGTTTGGCAAACGCTATGTTTGCATGGATGTTAGAATTTTCAAAGGGCCTAGTTTCTTAGAACATGAACAATGTTTTGCAGGGTTTATGCTCCGTAAGGAGCCTGAATCTGGTGAAATATTTGAACCATCAACTGTCCGTTGTAAATTTGACATCACCAGTAAAGGTAGATCAGCTGATATTTGTCTTTTTGACATGGAAACTAGAGAAATGATATGGATTGATACCATGATAAAGCACGGAAAGGCTGCGAACAGTCTTGTTAATAACACTGCTAGTTCTGTAGATATTATTCGTGCATTTCTCAAGATGGAGCAAAGCAAGACCAACATTAATGAACTCGTGTCTATGCATGCGAGAGCTGTAGATGCAAACATCGTTTCAAAAAGAGATGAGGCTGATTTTACAGTTGGGTTAGGAGAGGGTGATCTTGACGTATACGATTTTACAACGATAAATGCCGATTGGATTTAGTGAAATTATATTTTGTAGATAACGTTTTGCAGAATTCTAAAATAATGTTAAAAATAATTTTATGTAAGATTCAAATTTCTAGTAACTATTTCTTAATCTTCGAAGCTAAAACTTCATTGTGTTCTCCAGAGTGTTACAAAAGAATGAATTCTATATAGAATAATAGTTTAGCCCATTCTATGTAATATATTACAAATGCAATCTGCCTGCACACTATTCTGATTATACATGGTGCAGTATATTCATGCTTACTAAGATATAAGAATATCATAGTTATAATGATAAAGTAGTCCGAGTTCGGATGATGTATTATTAATCATTCACCGTTAAATAGACGTTAGGCATTAAATGTAACATGAAATACGATAATAAGATCTGTTTTCAGCACGAAAAGCACAATTGCAAAGTTTTGTCTGGCTTCTTTATTAGATATTAAATATTATAAAGTGTTTCGGTTGAGCCTCTCTATAATATGCCAAGCTATATTTTGATCTCGTTAAGTTTATTAATCAGATCCGAGCTCGGCCTAATATAATTTGACAGTATAAATATAGATAGCCAAAGATCCTCCCTAAAGAAAAGTTAGCATTTAGCATAAGAATGACGATGCTTCAAATTGTGGGTAAAATAAGTACAGTAAAGAGCCACTTTACGAATATTCTTATTATTGGTGGCTCATACGGAGGAATAACTAGTTTGAAAATTATTCGGGACTTACTCAAGACTAAACAAGACGAAAACAAGTTGAAGGGAGGAGATGAGAAGTTCAAGATTACAATGATCGAACCAAAGGAAGGGTTTTTGAACTTGATTGCTGTACCTCGTACATTAGTTGATATGGACTTTGCTCGGACTCAATATTTTAAATATACAGATATCGGTGGATTGGGTGTACACAAGGTTATTGATGCTAACGGAAATATTAAGGCAACGAATAATGAGGAAGATAAAAATGATCTTTTTGAAATTACATGTATTCAAGGAAAAGTTTTGAATGTGAGAGAGAAAGAAGCAAATTTCACTATCAACGGAGATGAAAGTAGAAATATAAAATTTGACTATGTTATTTTGGCATCAGGCAGAGATAGAAACTACCCGGTTACACCTGCCGGAAGGACTAAAGAAGAATTCCTTAATGAAATGAAAGAATTTTACGATAGAATTGCTGATGAAAAGATCAAAACTATATCGATTATTGGTGCTGGTGCCGTTGGTATCGAATTATCAGGAGAAATCAAACACTACTTTCCTAACAAGCATGTTAATTTGATTCATCCCCATGATTCATTCCCACCAGAGCCTCTTTCAGATGAATTGAAGCAACGTGTAAAGGAGTCTTTAGAAAGAGCAAATATAGACATTCACTATGACACTAGAATTCAAAAAGAGTTAGAGAATGGTGATTTATTAACAACAACTGGATCTATTATTAAGTCTGACTTGAATTATTGGAGTACATCAAAATATAATAATATCAAAATTGTTGATAAGTATTTAAGGTCAGATTTCCTTTTGCCTGATTCTACATTGAAAGTCAATGATATGTTGCAGTTATCGAATGGCGAGAAAACTATTCCTAACTTTTTCTGCATTGGAGACATTGCTTCCCTCCCTATAATTAAAACAGCAGGGTGGGCTCTTTTCATGGCCTCCATAGTTGGAAAGAACATAATAAGTAACTTGTTTGAAGAGGACATGAAAGAAAAACTTCCTCCCGCAGAGAAAATGCCCAGAGGAATACTTTTAGTCGGTGGAAACGGTGATGTTATCAGTTCGAATAATGGTATAGTTGAACTAAACAATCCAGAATATGTTGAAGCCTATAAAGATTATAGATTTAGCAGCTCCTTCAAGTACTTGGAACTTGATCTCCCAATTGAGAATTAAGTAACACAACATATATTATATAGTATAATAGAATGTACTGAATGATATTTATCATCATATGAACCAAGTCAGGTACGTCTTCAGTGCATATTAAGTTTTAATATGAAAATGGTTTTAATTTCGATGAACTATTAGCTTTATACGGAGTGTCTAACTCAATATAAGGATTATATAATATAACAAATATAAAAATTATTAGTCAATGGTGTGAATATTTACTTTCACGTTGAAAAAGCACCCAAATAAGGCTTCCAGATGAATGTGATTTCTCTGACAAAATCTGGGTCACTTGGATTATGTAGTCCTATACAAATTAATAAGATGAAAGGTAAAGACATACTTTATTGTTATCACTACGTATTTAAAAGGATGAAGAGGATATAGAGCAATAAAACGGAGAGCATGGGATAAAATATGAATGAATTAGGTCAAATAATAATTGACTTGGCTCAGAAACACGAACACCGTTACTCCTTAAAGAAATACTATATGCAAAATTTAGGTTATTACGGACGTTAGATCTCAATAGATTATGCTCACCCTGATTATTGCCAATTGTTTGAGCACAAAATTAAATGGCTGCAACGTTTCTCCGTAAACTAAACTTTACGGCCTTTAGTACATAATAGATTCAATAATTCATTTATAGATGTGTAGAATTAATATCATATTTAAGGATGAATTAGTTATTATAATCACCAAATGTCGTACAAAGCAGCATACCACTTTTGGTTTGACTTTTCTACATTTCTTCTTTCGACTTCATTTGAAATTTGAGTCTCATCAGAAAATTCAACTGCATTTTGAGTGTCGCCCAAATAAAAGTTTGATTGAAGCATTACTGCTACAAAACGAATAACTTGCAAGGCAGCAGCAATTGCAAAAAAGTAGTAACATATAACTTTGTACGCCTTAATAGCTCCATCTCGTTCTTCACTGCCCCATTCAAAATCTTCTCTTATGGCCGTGATAGAATCAAAATAGCCAGTAACCTGTTCGTCAGAAACAGAACTAGGTAGATATTTACGAAATTCGCTTTCCATTTTCAGTCCCCAAATAGCAGTTGAAACGGCTCCTCCAATTGATTGCCCAATCAATGTCCAAAGTGATAAAATGGACATTGCTACTGCTAAGTCTCTATGAGGAACAGCGGCCAGTAATGCAGTGGCACTCGCAACAACATTAAAACCACCTGCAGCACCAGAACAGATCGAATGCCATACTAACGGGAGGGTTTCTGTCCTTGCCTCCGTTCCGTTAATCATAAACCCCTGTGAAACAGTTTCTAAAAGTACCCCAAAGATTTGAAAAACCTTGTACCTATGTGTTACTCTATATAATACCCCAGCGACTAGACCAAATACGCATAATGCCACCGTTAATGTATTGTTATAATAGGTCCAATCTCTGTTACTCCAGTTCTGAACAATCCACACATAAGACGAAAGATATTGCAATGGAAGCATGCCTGCAAATTGATAAAAGAAATCAATGACAATGCAGCATATTACTGTCCTGTTAAGTACTCGACGGGGAGTAATAGGGAATGGTGCCAATAAGATTTCCCACAAAAAAAATACAATTACAAGCACCCCACCAATTACCATCATTGCAATCATACTTGGATTATTCCATCCACCTTCTGCACCTGATTGTAAAGAAAAAGGTAATAAAAGTAATGCAAACCCGAATCCTAATAGTAATAAACCCAAAACGTCGGCTTCAATTATAAGTCTCCATACAAAGGTTTTCCAATTTTTTCTAAAGCTAAGCAGTTGTTCATAGAGTGCTCTATCATCTTCTGGCATCAACTTATGGGCTTTTTGTTGAGAAAATATTAAAATATAGGTAGCTGGACAGACTACAACCGGCATGATAATTGTAAACATCCCATAACCCCATCTCCAATTACTTGTACCTAAGTCTTGAACAATATACCCTGCATACCAAGTATTAATTATATATGGGGCACTTAATATCGCAGTAGCAAGTGACCTCCATTTCAAAACTGTTAAATCTGCCGCGATTAAACTATTTATGAAGCTAATTCCAGAACTTCCTGCTGCACTAAGAGCCAGACCAACAATGTAGGCAGAGAAAGTATTACTAGCTGCAACTATAATATAGCCTACTGTATATAGTACCACACTAATAACATATGTGGTTGGCCTAGAAAGCGTATTGCAAATCTGTGCGTAAACTGGCTTGGAAATAGCTCCAATTATTCCTTTCGCAGTAGTAAGGGCACCCAATCCTTCTGAATGCTTTTGGTAATGTGAGGTTGCCCATGGAGCGAGACTGGAAGTTACACTAGAGTCCAAGTCAACTGCCCAAGAACAAATTATAATTGAGATGCCTAAAATCGCCTTCATTAGTTTACCATTTTTGCTATTATCCATCATTTCTTTTGAAGCCTCGACCCTGTAAACACCACGGTCTTTGATAACTTTCGCTTCAGCATCAATTCTATTCTCACCTGGCTGATTTTTTGCATACGTTTGCTCAACTATAGCTTCTTTATCATATTGATTGCTTGTGAATTTGTTGACCAGCTTGGCCAGGTTAGTCGAACTAACTTCATAATTTTCATTACCATTATTCATCTTCTGAACTACCTTGAATAATTTTTCAAGAGTTATCGAAAGGATTCAAAGCTATTAAGTAAATTCAAGTTGAGAAGAAAATTATGCCAAGCAAAAAAGGCTGCATATTCTCGGATCCGACAGATAGTAACTGAAGTATTTTGTTTCATTGTTAGATGTATGTTGTTCGTTAGAGAAAACTATTGTTTCCAATCTCCGCAAAAATTAGCCATCTGAATGAACTTGCCTTCCTCTACTGCAAAATTACTACGATTTGATATGTGGCTTAGCTTATATAACTACTTCTTCCTTATTGCATGCGGGAATTTTGATATCATTTCTTAAATAGATCGAATGGTTAGAATTGTCTTTCTACATTTATCATGAAGATAATCTAAAATACCGATCATCGGTCTTAAATGTATGCACAAGAAAAAGTTATCTTTAATATCAAAACCTTATAAGTGTAATAAATGTAAGAATGTTCATGCAACTCTTGTTGCATTGCACGGTTTATTTCGCAGGGGTTATAACTCAACTCCAACCTTTTTTTAAATATTATTAAGTAAATTCGTTAACTTTCCTAAAAGTTTAAGTGTATAACACTAAGACGATTAGGGACTCTTTATTATAAAGTGTAAACCAGTAACGGTTTAATATAAATTGTTTTATTTATGACGGCATCTAATTTAATTAATAAACTTCGTAAATTCAAGGTTTGGCTTATTTTATTGTTGAATTTTATCCAAAGGCGGTAATCTTGCATAATCGCAAGGATCAAGAATTTCAAAAGGTTTCTGCATAAAAAACAAAAGTCCCCATTAACTGCCGTTCCGAGATTCTAATATCCTAAATTGTACTCCTAATTAAGAGATTACGGATACCGACCCGAAGTTTTCGGAGTAGGTTTTCAATCGTAGTTATAGCTACTAGATCATAAATATGCTCTTTGTTTTAGAATATTATTTCAGGATTCGGTTCTAATTTTTATGTTACTCTACGAAGTTTTTATTTAGAAATGCCTGTAAATTAAAAGTTGTCAGTTTACTCCTCTTATTTCTAATTCTTGATAACATAAAATAACAATCGTTATTTGTTTTAGTCTTGTTTTCTCAAGAGTTAGTTGTGAGATACGAGAAATCACATACTGCAAGAATAAACTTGCCAATTGTAGATGAGGAAATAATTCCTTTTTTTTAATATATGATGGGATATTGGTAAAAGAATCATGAATAGGAAGATCTGAGATAAAGCTCATTTAATTACAAGATACCTAGCGTAATTTACACTGATCCTTATCGACACAGGAATTTATTCTACTGTGCAAGCCTGCTTCCTTAAATGTGACGTACACAGAGATCAAAATTCTTCTATAGCCTTCAAATCTCTTGTGAATACTACGGTAGTAAAAAAACTCCAAGTTCATTATTAACGGGTAAATAACAATATACTTACGTATGTGTATTCGGAAAATGACAATTGTACATCGCATTATCAAGATGCTCGTTAATATTCATTGCACGCAACCGAATCGACAAAATTTAAAAGCACTTGCATTTTGCGAACTGTTTTCAAAATCTTTCTTTTGTTATGACGGCTGCAACACTTCCGACTTTCGTACTATAGGTCATTTGGTGCAAAATACTTGAAAGAAGGATATGTTTATTTCTGAAATCCCTTTGCTTTGACCATCAATTAACGACAATTACGCAATAATACATCATGTCGGCTTCAACGCAGCTTTCTGAACGTAATCAGAGGCAATACCTAGGTCTTTTCCAATTGCTCTAGAACTTCTGATAATAGAAATAAGGAAATTAAGGTAAATCTCACCTACAAATATTTCTTATAAACTTAAAGCAGTAGAAAAATGACTTAAACCTTGAAGATCTTTTTGTTCTTCGTGGAAGTTTAAGAATTTTTGCTCCCATATAAGCTGAAACCTTTCCTAGGCAGAGCATGAGCCGCTATTTCTAAATATCACCGCAAAAAGACTTCAGGCGATGCATTATTTTATTGGAACACACATAGTTTCCTCCAAATGGCTTGTAGACACTATGGACCTTGGTAGACTTCTTTGCATAGAAATCGTAGAATAAAAAAGAAATACATTTGTTGGTGTTGATTACATAATCAGCCATATTATGAATTATTATGTAATGAAATGACTTGCTCCTGACTAAAGAACAGATAATAAAGCCGAAATATCATTAATTCTACTTTGTTTTCATCATTTAAGATATACCTTTAGCAATATTTATGATTATATATAAGCAAACAGAGAGATACAAATATAGAACAGAATAATGCCCAATCAATATGTTTATAACAGTTATCAACAACTGTATTCACCTTCTATCCCTAACGGAAATCTCAATGTAGTTGGAGCCAGTCCAACATTTACAAATATGAATTATAATGCACCAAATTCAGCTGAGTCGTCTGCAAGCTCTACGACTAGCTCCATGGGTTCATCAATGACTGGTATCTCGTCCAACTATTCGTTCCATACTCCAAGATTAAGATACTACTTGTCTAAGTCATTTGACATCGAGGATGATATGGAATTTTGTCCTGACATTCCCGAGATAGCTGGTAATAGTCCCCCAACCAAGAGATTCAATCCTTACACCGCATCTGTGTTTTCTCCTGTCATTCAGCCTGAAAGCAACCATGAACCTATGTCTCCCATGAATAGTGGTGCACAGTCTCCTAGAGTCCACACACCAAGAATCAAGAAGCCGTTGGAAATTGTCAATCCCCAAACGAAGATGCGTGTAAGTTCTCCGGCCATTCACAATAAGTAACTGGTTTATGTATAGCAGGTTCTACTGCTAGTTTTAATGTGTCACGTGTTAGTACTTTAGTTTTATTTTCATCCTTTGTTATTTTAGTCGTTGTATTTTAGTAGTTGTATTGGTGTACTGGTTTGTTATGGCTGAGTTTGGTTCTATATATTTATCACTTTAGATTTAAATAGTCATTGTTGTATATATTGATATACAAGTATTTGTATTAAGTGAACGAGCAATGGGTGCTCGGAAATTGTAATTCGCAAATCTTCCGATAAGGATGTTCGAGGAAGACAAGATACGGTATCTTTGGGATCGAGTTATCCGATGTCCACCATCATATCTATTTATCTCTCTATCTATTGGACTCTGTACAGGCGAAATTGTGAATAAGGATAGTCTTCCCGGGATCTCTTTTGAACCAATTAGGCAGGTTGAGCAATGTAATCTTTGGATATAAGCGGTCTTCCCAATTGGGCAATTGTAGCAGATAGTGAAATCTCATCTGAATCATATTTAAAGGACATAATATTTCAGAAGATGAATTATTATGCAATATAACTAACTACTACAAGCTTAGGATACTACAACATGACAAGTATTCATCCATTTGATTCCGTAAAAGATTTTGAAATTAGACTTGCCTCAAAATTGGTCAAAGATGCTTACCCAGCATCTGCAAATGTTCATTTTGTTCAGATCGACAGAGTCGATCCACCAAAGAAGGACATGATTAAATACTTAGACGCAGAAAAATTAGGTCAAACTCCACGGGCTATTCCAAGAATCTTATACACTTACTATTATACCAACACATTAACTTTCAATAAGGCATTGGTCAATGTTACTGCGGGTCATATTATTACTAAGACTCAATTACCACATGGTACTGTGGGTCCATATTTGCCAGATGATATGATGGAATGGGAAAAGCTCTGTACTGACCATCCTATGGTAAAGGCAGAGATTGAAAAATTGAAGTTACCACCAGGCTACACAGTTAGAAATGACCCATGGATCTATGCCACTGATGATCCAAATGAAAGAAGACCATTGGTACAATTTTTCATGTACGTTTTGGCTGGGAACGGACATACCGAATCAAATCATTACTCCTTGCCTTTAAAGTTTTCCCCGGTATTCGAAGCTTTTACCAATAAGTTTATTAGAATAGATTACTTACCGGGTGGATTTGATGAAACCATCACTCCAACCATGCCATGGAAGGAAGTTCCATGTGTTGAGTACCATCCTGATTTGAATAACGAAGTCAATATGAGAGATGTTAAGCCATTGTTGATTTCTCAACCTGAAGGTCCATCATTCTCAGTCAATGGCTCAAAGGTTAAATGGCAAGGTTGGGAGTTCAGAGTGGCTACAAGCGCAAGAGAAGGATTTGCTATTTACGATGCGTCGTTCAAAGGTAGACAAGCATTCTACCGTATTTCATTATCAGAAATGACTGTTCCATACGGTGACCCAAGAGCTCCATACCACAGAAAACAGGCATTTGATTTAGGTGATTGTGGATTTGGGGTCAATGGTAACCACTTGAGTTTAGGTTGTGATTGTCTTGGTGTTATCAAATATATGGACGGTGTTGGTATTCATGCCAATGGTGAGCCATTTGTTGTTCCAAACACTGTCTGCATGCATGAGCAGGATAACGGGTTATTATACAAGCACGTCAATTATAGAACCAATAATGCCGTTGTTGCTAGACGTCGTGAATTCATTGTCCAAACTATTGCCACTGTCGCTAACTACGAATATATTATCAACGTCAAGTTCATCACCGATGGTTCCATCAATATTGAGACAAGAGCTACAGGTATCTTGTCAACCATGCCTATTGACGAAAACGTCAAGGTTCCTTGGGGAACTATAGTCGGCCATAACGTTATGGCGGCATACCATCAACATATCTTGTCATTCCGTATTGACCCATCTATCGATGGACACAAAAATTCTGTTGTTTATGATGATGTTGTAAAATTACCAAAAGACAAGTTGAACCCACATGGCGTTGGTTTTATCACTGAACGTAAGTTCGTTGACAGAGCCGGTCATATCGACCAGTCACCATTTACTAACAGATCGTACAAAATCATTAACGAAAACAAAATCAATCCAATTTCCAAGACTCCTGTGGGCTACAAGGTGGTTATGCCTGCCAGACAAATGATATTGGCCGACGACGACTCGTTCAACGTCAAGAGAGCAAAATTTGCGACTGAACAAATGTGGGTCACTAAATATAGAGACCACGAATTATTCGCAGCTGGTGAATTCACCAACCAATCCCAACGCGACGAAGGTTTAGGTACTTGGGCTAACGGAGTTGATCCCGTCAGAAACGAGGACTTGGTTGTCTGGGCTACAGTGGGCTTCACTCACATTCCTCGTGTGGAAGATTTCCCAGTCATGCCCGTGGAAATTCATAATATTGAATTAGTCCCATTTAACTTCTACGATAAGAACCCTGCCTTGGACGTTCCACAAGCGAATAACACTTTCAACAAATCCGTGTTGTCCGATTCTAATACTGCTGAAAAGGCTTGCTGTAAGACAAAGATATGATATCTACATATTTTTACTTAATCTAGAATAAATATACTCTTTCTACATAATGAAATATTAATATATATCCTCATTATCACAATACGACTTTCCGTTAACAATTTAATCATATGTTCATACCTGAGCATTGTAAAACCTGTAAGGCTGGTATAGCTATTATGTAATGCCAATTAATTGCGCCTAGAAGAATTTTGTGTCATTTCATCTCCGCAAAATGCGCACGGTATTTATTATTGTACAGTTACCTAATTCTGCTATAATATGGCATTTTCACAGTATCATCAACAATGGCCAATTCAGTTAGTAAAAGTGACATTATATATATAGTGATTCAAATGGAAAGAATTTAATTTCGATTTTTTTCCTTTAGTTTTTTATAAGCTTTAATTTTCATCAAACCTTCATTTACACATTTACAATGCAATATACTACTTTACTTGGTGCTTTATTATTAGCTGCTTCATCCCAAGCAGCCCTTGATAGCTCACAACTTGAATTTCTTACCAACTTTGTCAACGATGCTAGATCACACACCAAGGAATACTTATCATATGTCCAAACTGCTGATGCCGATATTCCAAAAGATTTCGAGTCCTTAGCCAAACAAATTTATGCTACAACTGGTAACGCCTACACTACTGAATTTGATTCAGCCAAGGTCAAAACGTTAGAATCCTTTGCCACTGGGATGCCATGGTACGAGTCAAGAATTGCTGGTTCTGGTTCTGGCTCCTCAGAATCAGGTTCCGGTTCAAGCGCAAGTTCTTCATCTTCCAGTTCAGGGTCAAGCACCGAATCTTCTAGTGCTAGTGCTACTGCTGGAGCTGTAGGCCTCATGGTTCCTGCGGGTGCTGGGATTGCTGCTTTAGCCGTTGCCTTACTTTAATTTCACTTCGATATATAGTTCATTCCAATGTATACCTACTTCATAAAATATATGAATTTATTATAGACTCAGAATTATGTAGACGCATGTGAAGAATTTATGGTGTGTATGGTCATTCTCCAAAATTCGATAATTAGAGTTGCCTGACTCGTCAATAATTTTCGGTTACAAATAATCAGTTCAAGGAGTTAGCAAACGCATAACACGTCAAAAAGTCGACTCAGACATCCCGAAGAATCATCATTAGCGATCTGGCGGACAATCTTATTATTAACTACACACATAATTTCCCTCTTTAGGTAATCAAAACAAAGAGATTGCTTCCAAATCCGACATTTGCGAAAATAAAAAGCTGAGAAATGAAATTCTTCAGTATGTATCTGGCGCCAGTATTATATAGCTGGATAGCAAAATAAAACAAAGAAAATGATTGAGAATAGTTAAATAGATGACACGATAAAATATAAGAATACTAGGGACTCAGCAGTATATTTTTGTAAAATTATAAGCTATGAATAGTTACCTATCTGTGCGAGCATGGTGGCCACGAGAAGAAACTGGTGCACTGTCCACGAATTGAGGGTGAAAAATGGCTGATAATGATGCGAAAATAAACCAAAGTAGTAGATGGTGGTAAAGACAGTGCAGTCGTACTTTGATAGTTAAATATGTGTGAATAGATATTTCTGGCGTTAATTGAACCTTCAAAGAAAACATCCGTGATAGTTTAGTGGCTAGAATTACCGTTTGTCGCATGGTAGACCGGGGTTCAATTCCCCGTCGCGGAGCACTTCTTGCGCAAATGGTTTAGTGGTAAAATCCAACGTTGCCATCGTTGGGCCCCCGGTTCGATTCCGGGTTTGCGCATTTTTTTCTTTTGTTTTTGTTCTTTGGTCCAATTCACCTCATCAAGCTCTTTCAAAGCGAATTATACATCGCCTATGACAACGTGCGTTACTGATGCGAACTCGACCGTGATGTAATTTTCATGAGACATTAATTGCCCACAACGAAGATGCAATAATATTGAAAACTCATCTTATCACAGAAATTATAATTTATATTCTCCCAACAAGACAATAAAATTAAAAGACCCCACTTAGTTGCAATTGCAATTGCAATTGTAATGCTATTCTCTATTTCTGGCTGGCACTTTAATTAATGTTCAGTTTATCAATTTGTCTGATAGTAAATTCGCCTAAACTGCACTGCCGCGCAGATGAGTAAAACCAGCATATTAAAATTAATTAGCTTTATCAATTAATTGACAAACATAAGTCTTAATAATATAATTATATAGGTATAAAATGTCAAGAATCCAAGAATCAGGTATGTTTTCAGGTAGGAAAGGTGGTGGGAATTGGTACGAGGACTATACTAACAATAAAGATAATTTAAATGGGCATGATAGACGACAAACGAAAGGAAGATTTGGGTGGGTGAAGAGGCTAATGCAAGGACAGAATAGGAACCAGAATGGCACGTTAGTGTCTACATCTAACATCATGGAGAATAATGGATATGCTAATTCAAGAGTGAGAGAATCCAGAGCGACAGAATCTTCACAAAGGTCACAATCGTTTAGTGGTGGAGAGTCATATGAATACAGCACAGACAACGATATAAATGATATGGACCAAAGCGAAGAAATGGAATCTTCTAACGAAAACCATGAAGCTCGTAGTACTTCCAATAGTGATCAGTTAACCACGCAATCAGAAAATGACAATATAAGTACAATCCCGTTGAAGTCAATGACTTCTGCGTCTACAAAATCGCCTTCAGTGTTGAGTACAAACCAGGATAACAATTCATACGTTGCCTCCACGGCGGAAACGTCAATTGCTCCAAGCATACATGCAAATTCGGTAACTCAAACATTGAACCCCAATGGTCAGTTACAACTGCAGACATATGATAGAGACAGTGAATCCATAGTCACATTGGCAAGTTCATCTCGCAGAACCAGAAGAAGAAGTCTTGAAACGAACAGCAGCACCGCTGGTATTCCACCAGCAAGTATCATGGAAAGACTAGCAATTCATCCAAATGCTGCCAGTAGCACCTATACGGCAAGTATTCATAATGCAAATGATAGAACAAGCATTTATAACGCGAATATGGGGGCTTCCCAGTCGAGTGTTACAGACTTGAATGACCAAGCAAATTCAGTCTATTGAAACTGAATCTGTACCATTACCACAATGCCTTTCCTATTATAACTATATAATGCTTCGTGTATACTATTACTATGTAAAATACTATTTTGGGGTTTATCTGGCTATGTTAAATAGTTAGCCTATTTGGAATTGCACTTTATGTTTCATGAAAAACTCTAATATTCAATCATGTAACTTCAATATCATGCATTCTATTGTTCTAGTACTCTAGTTTAGGCATACCTGACGTGTAGAAAGCAAAACCTTGTATTGGACCTCTTCATCAGTTGCCTGATGCAAATATTTATAATGCCTGCATATAGATGAAATATCAAAAAACAAAAACATAGAGCACTACTAATAATAAATGGGATGTATTCTGCAATACTATTATTCTTTAGACATAGTCAACAGGCCTAAGGGAGAGACATAGCCGAGAACATTCCTTAATTATCGGCTGTTTACTATACCCTTTTTTAAAATGGGTGCTTTTAATTATAATGATAACTCTATCGAGGGCGATGTTTACATTCAGAGATTATCAACATATGTCAGAAGAAATGAAGAAGCATTGGCCAACGGCCTAATGTGTTTCTCGAAGAACCGGTCAAATCCAAATATCAAGCCACTTAGATTGAGCTTTACTATTCACCATCTTTATTACATTACCGAGAGAATCGAGTCATCCCCGCTCGGAGTTGACGTTGGACCTCTTAATGTTAAACTTGATAATCCAAATCATGTACCCACTTTTATTTCATTCATGGCGAACAACGCCAGGTCATCAAGGCATTTTGATAGTGATGCCAAGTCTATCACTTCGATCAATTCTATGCGATCCATCGTATCGAGTGCGTCCGTATACTGGAGATCATTTGCATTCAGTAAAGATCCGAAAGTCATCAATAAGGATTTGAGATATTTGTATTCGTCCTTTACAAAGATTCCATGCTTAATTTTAACACCGAAAACCAAAATAAACAGCATTACTTCCTACGAGGAATATCCTTGTGATACGTCAGTTCCGGTAAAAATGTTCAAAAATTTACAGGTATTGGAACTTGTCGACTACGAGCCTAATGAGATTTTTGGTTGGAATATATTAAGTGAACAATTGAGAGTATTAATTATTAAAGATTCAAAAATCTCTGACATTGGGGAAATCTTATTTAATTTAGTCATAGATGATGAAAGTGGAAGATCATCTTTTAACTTCCATAAGCCTTCAAGAAAGCAAACACAAGATGCTGATAGTTCATATATGGATAACGACCACCCACCTTTTAATCATAATAGCAGGCATAATGTTAAAAGAGAAAGAGCTAAAACAACTGGAGCTGGCTCCGCACCCAAAGATTTGTTGCACTGCGATACAAATTTATCGAGATTTGGTCAAGATAATACTACGGAATCGCCTACCAAAGACTACTATTCGTTGACGGATGGGAAATGGTCGGTGTTGAAACAATTAACAATTTCAGAAACTTCCATAACTTCCATACGTCCATACGTCTTTAAACCTTTAGGAAATTTGGTTAAATTGAATTTATCAAATAATTTATTGGAAAGCTTACCAGAAGGCTTAGATCAATTGCATAACATTAAATATATTAACTTCGCTGATAACTATATTACTGATCTAAAAGCTTTACCTAAGAACCTCAAGTATTTGTCCACTATAAACTTCAACAATAATAAGTTGAAAAGCTTGGAGGGATTAGAAAACTTGTGCTCGTTGGAAAAAATTGACTTTAGAAGAAATGAATTAAAAGAAATCAAAAGCTTAAAGCCAATTATTTTACAATTTATAAAGAACCCCGAGAAATTCGATAACGTTTACCTAGCAAATAACGCTTTGCCCAAGAATTATAGAATCGAGTTATTTAACTTATTTAATGGGGTTAAGTATAAGAATAATATGAAAATAGATGACTCAAGGCCTGGATACTTTGAAAGTGCTCTATTGTTAGACGCAGAATCTGCCTTTAAATCTTTGGAAAAACTATTTGGTTATATTAATGACACAAATAAATCTACAAAAGAACAATCCCTTCCCCCAATATCAACAAAAGTCTTTGCTGAATTTGAAAAAGATAAAGGAAGAGATACCGAAATACAAACCCTTATTGATCCTTTAGCTACAATGAACCTAATTTCTGAGAATGATGATAATATGAAACCCAGAAAGGTTGACATCTCGCATATAATGACTATGAATACAATGTCGCCTATTTTACTGTCCGATTCAACTAGTATTATTTCTGCGTCATCGAAGCTTCCAACACCCAATTCGCCGTTGTATAATAATCAAAACCTTACTAATAAGCAACATTCTCCTGACACTACTTACACGGCCAAGCCAACAATATCAACGCAAACAGTAAGTGTAAGCTCCACACCACCCGTACCAACTTCATTGAAAAGGTCTACGACCTTAAACCAATTAGACATAGAATCACCATCATCCAACAATGCGGCTCCGGGTATTATAACTAATGTTCAAGTTACTGCCAGAATGAGTACGTGAGTTATTATGTAAATATACTTTAATTAGAAAACTGCATTCTCTATTTTGTATTATATATTGTGTATCTATCTACTATTAACTAACTATGGAATCATCTAAGCTTTTTAGGTATGTATCAATTCATAATACTCTTTGTGTACAAACTGACCCCTCTCAAAACATTTTTTGCAGCTAAATAAATCCATAATTTTTTAATATCAGCGGTTAATTAATGAATTAGTAGAGTATTTAATAAAGGGTCGATAATGCAGAAAATGTTAATTTACTTAGCGATATTGGGTATAATAATACCTATTATGAATGCTTTGGAAGCAAATAGGTTGATAGATCAAATTTCTTTCCATAAAAATGTTTCAGAAGTACAACACCCTCAACAAGAATATTACAAGTATCCATCAGATTCCTCCAAATTAATAAGATATCCTCTTAAAAAAGATTTCATATCACCTCCTTATTACCCTAGCCGTAAGTATGATTTAACAATGGATATAAATTTAAGATTAATCGAGATACTAATCAAAGACAGCTGTTGGAGGTCGTCTAAATGACACATGGAGGGAAGCGTATATAAAAGCTAGAGAAATAGTTGAAAAAATGACTATCGTTGAGAAGGTTAATTTAACCACTGGTACGGGATGGGGATCAGGTCCATGTATTGGAAATACTGGATCTGTTCCTCGCCTTGGAATTCCGAATCTTTGTCTTCAAGATGGGCCAAATGGGGTCAGGTTTACAGACTTCGTTACCCATTTTCCTTCTGGATTAGCAGCTGGAAGTACGTTCAATAGGGGTTTAATGTATCTCAGAGGTAAAGCTTTGGGTAGGGAGCACAAGAAGAAAGGAGTCCATATTATGCTTGGTCCAACAATAGGACCGATTGGACTAAAAGCTGCCGGTGGAAGAAATTGGGAAGGTTTCGGAGCTGATCCTTATTTACAAGGAATCGGTGGAGCAGCCACTGTTGAGGGAATTCAAGAAGAAGGCGTAATTGCAACAGTCAGACACTTGATAGGTAATGAACAAGAACATTTTCGTCAAGTAGGCGAATGGAATGTTAGTGACTGGTTCCT